AATATTTAGTTTATAAAATTTTAACAAAATTAATATTTTAAGTTATTTGTCTAAATTGTTTAAATTTTTAATATTTAAGATAATAATTTTAATTAAGAGATTGTTTATAAAAAATTAATAATTTTTAGAGCTTTCTTGAGCTCTTTGTTTTGATTTACTATTTTGATTTTTTTGTTAATTATATTGTAGAATTTTAAATTGTTATGTTTTTTTTTTTTTACTACTAGTGTAAAGACTGCATTTTCTATATTTTCTTGACTAACTATTTGATCATCTTTTTAGTTTGTATTATCTTTTTCTAAAACTAAATTAGTAGAACAAGTATTTATAATTAATTCATTATTTGCAAAAATTTTTGCTTTAACATTTATATTGTTTGCAACTAGATTTTTTTCTAATTTTGTTGTTTATTTTTAATTAAGTACTATCTTTATATTATTGTTTTCTAATATTTTTTGCACTATAGAGTTTTCTTTATTAGTATCTATTTGGACCTTTATTATAATATTATTTGATGTTTGTTTAGTTTTTTTTTTTATTCTTGAGTTTTTGAAAATAATAACTTAATTTTTTTGTTTTTTGAATATATAAGTAAATTTTTTTAATATAATCAGTTTGATTACAGAAGTAGTACACTTTTGATATTTTTTTCTATTTGGTAATAACTCTATTGTTTTTAATATATATGAAGCAAATGATTTTTTGCTTTAACTTTAAGTTTTCTGTATTATTAAAGATAACAATTTATTGGTTTGTTATATATAGAGTATCTTTGATAAGAAATAATTTAATTAAGATAATTTTTCTAAAATTTTTAAATACTTTTTTAATTAGCATAGATATTTGTTTTTTGGTATCTAAAAGAATATTTTTTATTTTAACAGAAAGAAAAGATTTGTATATATTTGTAAAAATATATTTATAGTAGATTTCATTAAAAATTTTAACCTCTTTAGTAATATAATGTATTAGTCAATTTTGATCCAAAAATACAATTTTAAGATAAAATCTGTTATTTTCTAAAATATTATTTGATTGTGACTATGTTTTTTTAGTTCTTTATATAAAGAGACTATGATTTTATTAAGAAAACTGTAAAGACTAAAAATTTTAATAATTAATATGTTGTTGTTTTTAGATCTAACTTGATTTCTGAATAAAAAAATAATAAAAATTAATTTTTCTTTTTTTAATTTAGTAGTCAAATTTGTGACTTATTTGATTACTGATATATAGCTTTAAGTAATTTTACTCACAAACTAAATTTTTGTAATGATACATACTTTAGTTGTTATATCTGACATATGACTGTTTTGTTGTTACTTTTATTTTTGTTACCTGTTTTATTTTTATGTTTAGATGTGTTTTCTAAAATCTAAATACTTTTTTTATTTTAAATTAATTTTCTAATTAGTTTCTCTTATTTTGAAATATTATAAATAAAGTTATAAAACAGTTATTTGTTATGAGATTATGATACTGATCTATGACAATAGAGTTTAGTAAGTTGCTGTAAATAAGAGAATATAATTAAATAATTAATTAAATAATAAGATCATTATTGATAATAAAAATAAATTATTTAATTAAGTAATAATAAGTATGAAGTTATAAAAAATGACTATTTAAATGAAATATAAATAGAATTTGTTCTTTTTTTTTGTTTTATTACTAACTTGATGCAAGTCTAATTTTGTTATTAAAACCTACTCAACTCACTACTATAATAGAAAAAAATATAATAATAATAATAATAATAATAATAATAATAATTTGATTAATCTAGATTTAATGTAAAAGAAAAGAAATAGAAATAAAAATAAAATATACAGATACTATAAAAAAAGGTTAGTAAAAAATAAAAAAAATAAAAAAAAATATTGATGCTATAGTAGTGGCTGTTAACTATATAAGCAGTAGAACAAAATTTTATAATATGTATTTTATAGTGTATTTTATATTAAATTGTGAATAATAATTGAATGACAAATAAACTACTATTACTGATACTAGTTCTTTACTTTTTGCTATTTTTATCTTTTTTTAAGTTGCTAAAATATGTTTAGAATCTGTTATTTATTTTTTCAGTAAGAAAATTATTTGTTTTCTTTTCTTTTTCAAAATTGAGATTTTGTATTTTGAAAATTAGGTTTGTTTTAATAATTTTATTCATTAAAAAAGCTTTTTTTTTAAAACAAAAACTTTGATATTTGTTAGTATCTTATTTAATAAGTTTTAGTTTATTTTTAATAGATTTATAATTGTTGTTTTTATTTATTTTTTCTGATCTGATATGAACAGAAAAGAGCTTTTATACTGTTTTTGATAATAATGTTTTTTTTTTTATTTGATATTATATAAATAAATAAAAAAATAAATAAAATTTTTATAAATTTAGAAAAAAATTCTAAAAATCAAAAAATTTTGATAAATTTTATTAATAGAAAATGTTAACTTTATCATAATATCTAAAATTATTTTAAGTATATTTTTAGTAATTTTTAGACAAATTTGTTTAAAAATAATTTATAGTTTAAAAGATATATAATGTATAATTAAGATTAAAATAAAAACCATAATTGTTATAAACATTGACTTTAGCAAAATTAAAAAAATATATATATAATTTTTTTTAAAAATAAATGCAATTATTTTATACTTTATTAATACATTTTTTATATATTTTAACATACTGCTGAAACTTTTTAACATATTTTTTGATTTATTATACTATTAAAATATTATTAAAAATTTGATTTATTTAACACTTTAACATATTAAAATTTTATTTTTGTGTTTTGTTATACTATTAAAAATTGATTTATTTAACACTTTAACATACTACTAGAAATTTATTTTGCACTTAACATACTATTAAAAATTTATTTCATTTTAATATATTACTAAAATTTAATTTATTTTACACTTTTTACATTTTAGCATACTACTAAAAAATTATTTTATAGCTTATTTCACACATTAACATACTACTAAAAAATTATCTTATAGTTTATTTCACACGTTAACATACTACTAAAAATTGATTTTTTTCTCACTTTAATGTACTACTATGTTATTAGCTCGTTCGGTTCTATTATTATCAGTTTTATAATAGTCAAATATATGGGTCAAATCAAGTTGAGAACATTTAAATTGAGAATATAAAACGAATACATCTGACATTAATATAATATAAATGATGCAAAATTATGCGATTTGGTTTAATCACACATTTTCCGTGTCCCTGATACACTTATTTCGTTTTCTAGTTTCGGAATTTCAAAATAAAAATGATATTTTTTATTATCGAAATAAATTAATTCTGAATCACCCTATTGATTGGAATGCTTAAGAACACCCTAAGTCAAATTTTTTAAAAAACCGGCTGGATTAGTCGACTAAGGATGCTCTCAAGCACCTAAATTAATAGATCGGTGCTCAATTTTTAATTAGCGAAACATAATTTGGACGGTTGTCATCGCAATGAAAAAAAAATGGTCTAGACCATCTTTTTTTTATCATGGAGGTGTGTTTATTGGCTAAAATTTAGGATCCACATTTCGCAATATAAACCTTCATCAGAATTGCCGTAAGAATGAGCTCGATTAATTATGGTGCTTATGCACGATCTCGTTTACTAGTTGATCACATTGAGGGAGATGCTTGAGAGCACCCTAAGGGTGTTTTCAAGCACTTCAATCAATAGATCGGAGGCAAAATTTCAATTAGTCGGAACTTGAATAAACCAAATAAGCCAGAGTTGCTCTGATTGGCTAAAATTTAAAACCCGCATTTCACACAATGAATTTTTAGCAAGTTGTCCTTCATTAACCACTTAATTAATCGTTACTAGTTAATCACATTCTTGAGAACACCCTTGGTTGGTTCTTGGTTATGTATATACCCATGGAATGCTATATTCAGTAGGCTTTCAAGACTCTGCCTAATGATCTGTTCAAAATAATCCTTTTGAATTGTGACCTCTTCGTACAGGTACAAATCAAGTAGGAAATAGTATGAGAATTAGGACTTTGCAATAGTTGGTATCGGGAAAATTCGTAATAATAATATCCTGATCCGTTGGGAATTAGCGGAAACTTCGTTTCCGCTTATTCACATACGGTCAGGGTATTATTAATTAATCCCCCCGTGATCTTGGTATAGTGATCGGGGGATTATATATATAAATATATGTATACAAATTTAGGTCAATTACGAACACTAAAAATCGTCAAAGCCTTTACGTAGTATATATATTTGACAACGTTTAATTCACAACCAATTCATAAAATTACATACAATGTTTTAGCGCATCTTATTTAACAGCAGCTTCTGCGTACGTACGTACGCACATTAACGTTAATTAACCGAAGGTAATACACAGCATATACGCAATTTATATTTAATTATATTTCTTGCATTGACAATAATTAGTAATAATTACTGTCACATGTAAGTCTGCACTAGTTAATTCTGAGAGTAAAGCTGAAAAAATGTAGTACAACTTTAGATAATTTATAACGGTGCAGGTTTGTATCAATCCATTTATGTCACTTGTAAATGCAAAAATCAGAACATTTTAACAGGACAAAGACACTAAGGTGTCGTGACTTATTGTTTTTTGAAATTCCTTCATTGTCCGACGTAAAATTCGGCGTTTTATCCAAAAGAAAAATGTAAAGTTTCGCCCTTTAACTGATGTGGTGAGATTATTTATCATTATTTTTTCCGCCTAACGACGAAATTTTTTAAAATATTTAGTAGAAGGAAATTTTTTTTTAGCGCGAAACTAATATAAAAGGTTGCAAGGTTTATACACTTTACACGATCGGTCTACACTATGTACGTATAACTCGCACTACCAACTGAAGATATTCAATTTCCTTTTTAAGTAGACTTATCGCCACATGCCAAATTAAACATATTATATACATACGTACGTACGTGATTCGAACTTAACACTTTCATCATAAAACCTTTTACCATAAGTTTGTCTCATCATGAGCGCTGCACCAGGAGAGAATGGGGAACAGTCTATCCCGATCGAAGACGTTGCCAATAATGCCGAAGTCGAAACCCCTAAAGAGCCTGCATCGGAAGAAACCAAACCTCAGGAGAAAACTGCTGTAGTCGAATCTGAAGTTACGGGTGTTAAGCCTATAGCACAGGAAGAAAACGCTGTCGATAAGAATGAAAAACCTGAGGAAGTAGTCGTAGTCAAGCCCGAGGAAGTTGTAGCTAAGCCCGAAGAAGCTGCAACGAGTACTGGAGGGGTTACAACCCAAACTGAGGAAACTGTAGCCGACGTATCAACTGAGGAAACTAAGGCAGAAATCGTTCAAACTACTGTTGAGACTACTACCGAAGTAACAGTCGAGACTACAGAAGCTGTAGAGAATCAAACTAAAACAGAAATTAAAGAGACTGAAACTAAGACTGAAACTAAGAATGAAACTAAGACTGAAACTACTAAGGAGGTGACGGATGCAAACGATCAACCAACAGAACCCTCAACAGATGCAACTCAAACAGATATAAACAAACCCCTTCCGGAAACTCCTTCAGAAACTTCACCGAATCCTCCAAAAGCTCCGTCAAAAAGAAAGAGCTTTCTTTTGAGGGCTAAGAACTTCTTCAGCAGCAGCAAAAAACAATAATCTCTCGATATTACGAAGTACACATTTATTTTTTTTATTTTTTTTCGACAGTCAATATTGATTCATTTTATTCATATTGATTTACCGTGTTGTCGCGAAATAATGTCCGATTATCTCGGAATAGCGCCTAAGTTATTTATTTTTTTGGTGTTCCAATTACGTAGCCAAGGTGGTTTATCTACCACATATGGTTTGTGATAAAGCGTGACTGAGGCTGGGAGGCTTGGGTGACATATTATCACGAATATTTATATTTATTTCTTTTAATTTCTGACACATTATTTATTTATTTTTAATTCTAATTGTGAAAATGTATAAAAGCATTATCTTTTTTCTGTCTTAATAAAGTTCTGGGGCTTCAATATCTGGGATATAAGCTGTTATTAAGAATTGGTTTCTCAAGTGCTTTAGTGAATTGATGCAAATACCGCATGTACTTAATTACATATCATTTCGAAATCAAATTTTCAATAAAATTTTTTTTTATTATCAGGCGATACAACATAACATTAAATTTTTGATCACCGTTCATGTTTTTTTTAAAAAAAATTTTACATATAAAATTATACATACTCAGTTACTAAAAGATTTTCAAAATTTGATCCACTCGGGTTGTAAAAACAAAAACTTAACTTTATATGGCCTTATATAAAGTACTACATACAAAAAAAAATTTAATTAAATAAAGGATAATAAAGTTTACTCTGATTAATATTTATTGCACCTATATTTCTTTACAAGTTTTATGACCTTAAAAAATTAATCTAAATTATGTATTTTTTTGATAATTTTTTAATTATTAAAAAAATTCAAATAGGGTAGGATGTAATACGTATTTTAAATTTATATATAAACTTGATGGGATATTTTTTTTGTAACTTCAATTACGAAAATTTTTACTAATTAAATATTTGTTGAGCTTTTAAGTAAAGTTGTAGAGTAGGTTCTTGTGATTCTAACAATAGTAACATTATTAAAATTAGTTTAAAACTCATCAATATATGAATTTTAAAGATTAATATAAAAATTTATTATTAAAATTCTTTTATTTTTTTATTTTTTTTTGGTGTTAAGGTGACCTCTTTGATCTTTTGACTTTTATTAATCACTTATCAGTATTATGGTTTAATGAACCACTACAGGAGAGCATACAATTGGTTATACATATAACTTTTCTATATTACCTATTTAAGAAGTCTGCCTAAAGGTTTTCTACTAATTATCATATCTAACACTTTTGCTTAGATGTTTCAATTTAAACTCTTTGAACCTGTAATCTGTGTTAACTTATTGGGACATATTCAGATACCCAGATCATCATCTCAACCTTAGGACTAATTTATCCTCAAGGTAAACCCCTCAAAGCTTTTTGTACTCATTTTTATAGTTGATCTAGGTATCACTATAGCAAAATCAACACTTGTGATTAGGACTTAATCATTAAATCATTGTGCTCTTGTAAAGTTCACTTAGACCTCAGCATCTACTTTATAGCATAACTTTGGTATTTTAGTATACTTCTATTTTTTTCTCTATCTTTTTACCAAATTTCTAATCTAGATAGCCCATATAAAACTACAACTAGTCTATCAGTATATTGGATTGGTTCAATATCTTTTTTTTTTGATTTGTTCCAGTGATCTAGTTGATAGTATTTCTGAGACTTCCAACCCAGAGATTCTTGTCCATTTGACTACTATAACCAGATATTAGATCTTGATATCTGTTTCATCAGACTAGCCTTTACAATAGGGTTATTGAAGATCCAACTACCTTTCTATTTAGGTCTTTTCAAATAGACTTTGGTTACCCAATTTTAACAGATTTATATAGTCACAAAAACTTATCTAGTGTTTACATTACCTGATTTGTCAGTTTACATTCTTCTATATAACTCTAACATTTCACAGATGCCCTATAACTTGCTAGTTATACTGGTGTGATCATCATTACAGGTATTCTAATTCAATTATTAGTAACAGTTGTTATAATACAAATATTATATAGGTAATTATTCAAATTTTTGCTATCAATAGGATTTAAACACCCAATCTACTATTTGGGGAGTTAACGATCTGATCACTTTACTAGGGCACTACATTCCTAAAATTCTTTTATAGTTTTTTAAAAATTAATCAATTTAAGTTAATTTTTTATATAATCATGAAAAACATAAAGCATCTAGAAAAAATTTAAGATATATACAAATATAATTTTTTTAAATTAAATATTTTATAAAATTTTAATATAATAAATAACTTATTTAAATTTATATATTATTTTTTATTTATTTTTATTAAGATTGTTTTTTTTTTTTTTTTTTTTTGTATTATAAGTGGCAATCTTGCCTGTCTGTCTTTTATTAAGTAATATCTGGTTATTAATTAATACAAAGTTTATTAACAAAAGTATAACTAGCCATATATATAACTTTAGTTATTATCTAATTAAGAGTTCTACTTGAAGGTTACATACTAGCTACCATATTTGAAATCCATCTATGAATTTCCTATTTAAACTTTCTGATTTTCAATCCTATGCATTACAACCTTTTATTACCACATAGATATATTAGATTAGAGCTATCCAATTACTATTTATATCAAGGTACTATCTCATTGAATGTTACCGAATATCTATAGTCCTTCAAATTTACTCTCAACACAAACTTACTAAGTATAGTATCAAAATTACCCTCTTAGATTTTATTCATGTTAGTGTATCTCATATCTACTAAACTAGTTTTTGGTATCAGAGGTGTTTGAGTTTTAGTAAGTCTATTTCTTTTTTATAGTTTTCTTTTATGTTTACTATATCACTTACTAGTGCATCTTCTCTCTATTTCTGATATATTCACTATTTCTTTCACATCAAACACCAACTTTCCATATCAGAAAACTCCTTTTTAAGAACTTTCTTATATACTGATTTTTTATTCACATGAACTTAAGCTACATGGCTTCATATACATTCATATACTTTTGTAGATTACAGAGTTTTGCCTTTAGCTGAAATTAAACTGTCAATCTTGTCTGTAGAGGAAGAAGTGTCTAGACCACTAGGCTATAGAACCTCATCCCTTTTTATTAAGATTGTTATTATCAGTAGTTAATAATTTTATTATAATTTTAATTATTCTTATATAATTTATACAAGATAAATATATAACTAATCACATATGCAATTTTTAGTTACTTATTTAAGTAGTTTATCTGCAAGTTTTATACTAGCTGTTATATTTGTAATCTGTTAAGAAATTATCTAATTAAATACTTTAATTCTTATATATACTTAACAGATAGTATACAAATTTCTATACATCTAAATACTATCTAATCTAATATTTAACTTTTTTTTCTATACATTTATTAAGCTATTAAATATTTTAGAATATGTTATTTAACTGTGAAACTCTAAAAAATCTTCTTATTAACTAGACTATTTACTTTTTTTATAAAATATTAATAGATCTTATTCTTGTAAAGTTTATCCAAACCTTAGTATCAACTTTATAACATATTTCTAATATTTATAGTATACTTTTGCTTTGTTATTAGACTTTCAATTCAGATAATTTAGTAGAACTATGATCTGTTTCTGGTATATCAAGTTTAGTTTGATATCTTTTTTTTTTAGTTTGAAACTTTTAGTAACCTGGTTAGTAATACCTTTTACTCAAAATTTTTGTCTATCTGTTTTCTTTATATTGATAACTATTTTTTAGATCTAGTCTTTATAATAATACTATCAAAAATTTGTATTACTTCTCTATTTAGGTCTTTCTAAATTTTTTCTTAAGTTTATACTACTAGTTTGTATCTTTTTGTATAATCAAGATTATATAAATATTTTTTGACTAAGGATGGTGATTTTAGTATAGTAGTTGAGTTATCATCCTCCAAGCAGCAGGTCTAAAGTTCAAATTCTATTTATAACAAAATTTGAAAATTAACTTGCATTATGAAAACTGTTTTTTGTCAATTGGTTGGTCTCATGTGACTGTAATCCAAGTATACCAAGTCAGATCCTACTTGGTATTGGAAGCTTAGAGCATCTATATAAAGTATAATATTACATATATATAGTAGAATGTTAATAACTGGTATTGCATAAGACTTCAGTGCAAATCTATAATAAGACCACCAGGTTCAAAAGACTAAGGAACTGTGAAAACAGAATCTCACTTGAAAATTTCTAAATAAAGAGGTAGCACAAACTTTTAATAATGCTGTTGGACTGATAGAAGCTCATAAAACATCTTTATAGGAACAGACAGATGAACTGGATGACAAAATGCATATGACCAATTAGACTGTTAGAATCACTAAAGAAAAAAGATACTAAGCTATATTATACCAAAATATTTGAATTAGAAATTTAAAAAGTTTGTTAGTTCTAAGTTGTAATTAGTAGAAGATGATAAAAAAGATATCAAAAAGATAGGTACCAGAGTTTGAATAAATTTTACAAGAGTAAAAATAGTATAATGTAGTGGTTTAAGATTAGCTCTAACTACAAGTATTAAATAACTATAGCATGTTATATAAAACTAAGTTAGCTGTATATAGAACACAGAAGGCTCTAGTAACAATGCTTTTGAAGATACACTACATGAAATAAGATATAAGATTCTAAGGATATGAGTAAGCATCTAGATCTTCTTAACTGACTTACATAACAGAAATGATCTAATGATATAGTAAGAATTGCAGTACAGAGAGTTTAAATAGGCAACATCTCTAATTGAGTTGCAAATATGGCAGCTAGTATAAAACTATTAGCAGACTACTTAATTAGATACCAAAAAAGTATATGTGACTAGTTATACTCTCTAATGTAAGAAAACTTCTTTGAGACTTTGGCTGTAAGTTCTTATATCTTAACTACTGAATAAAAAGCCTTAGCTTCAAAAGAAACTAGTTTAATAAAAAAAATATATATATATTTCTTGACCTGTTAGTTATGCTAATGCAATTATAGTTACAGGTATCTTATTCTAACTAATCAACAAAATGCTGTTGCTACAATACAGATATATTTTTATAAATTTCATCTTTGGTAGTTTTTGAATTTACAACCTGCTATTTGAGAGGTTAATAACTTATTTACTTCAGTAAGTCATTATATTTCTAAATCTATATATTATTAAATTTTAATAAAAATTAATTAAAAAATAAAAAAGTTTTATTAATAACACATTTTAATTTACTATATAAAAATCTATTATATTATCTAAGTTATATAAAAAATAATCTATGTACATCCTACCTTTAAATAAAAATAAAAAATTAATTAAATTTAGTTAAAATTAATAAAAAATTAAAATTATATTTAAAAAATCCAAGATTTTAGTATAATAATAATATCAATTAAAATTTTTTTTAATAATTACTTAAATTATATTCATATATACTATAGTTTGAAAACTAAAATTTTAAATAAAAAACCAATTCAAAAAAAGAAAATACTATGCTGCTCAAATAGTATATTGATTAAGTATATACAAAGATATAATAAAAGTTAACTGATTAATAAATTAAATAATTAAAGAATTTAAATAAATAATCTTTTAATATAAGTATGACATCTAGTATAAAACCCTAAAATGAACTACTTAAATAGGCAAAAGTTGCATGTATAACTAGCTATATTCTTATTTTTGCAAAAATAGTTGTATAACTAACCTTATATATGTTAATAAAATAACTATTATAAAGCATTCTTTTTAACAATAAAAAAAAATTATAGTTATATATAAACATTATATATAAACTAAAAATTTTTTTTACATTAAAGTTTTTGGTTTTAAAAAATAATTTTTATATAAATTTATTTAAGACAAAAATCTTTAAAAATTCTCTTATATAAAAGGTTATAACTTTGGTTTAGGTTACAAATAAACTTGTCTAAGCTTTTATTCTTGCATATAATTTTTATTTGTTACAAACAATTTTAGTTTATTTCAGTACTTTTGTACTAAAATATACAGTTAAAATTATTAATAAAGATATAAGCAAGGCCTTATCTTAATACCAAAAAAAAATAAAAAGTTATAACTAGTTATATATACACTTTTAATATCTTATTTAAGTAGTTTATCTGTATATTATTTTTTAAATTTTATATTAAAGATTATATTTGCAAGTTAACTACAAGTTTTGTTTATTTAAACCTTTTGCATATGCAATCTTTTTGTATTATAAAAGATTTTTTAGACTAAATATATTTAAAATTCTTATATTTATTAGTATTTTTAAAATTATTTTATTTTTAACAAAAAATCTACTAAAGCTTTTTATATTATATATATAACTGATCTAATTTTATTATTTTTGTAAAATTATTAAAACTCTAATATTTATATATTTTATTATTTTTTATTAACTATTTTACTTAGAATTAACAAAATTTTCCAAACTATTAATTCAGATGTTTTAATAAATTTATAACTAAATTTTTAATATATAGTACTTTTTTCTTTTAGCAAGTTCTAGTAATCTGATTAGTTTTTTTTTAATATTAAAATAAGGCCTTGCTTATATTTTTATTAGTAATTTTAGTTGTATATATTAATTGTCCAAAGCAAAGTGAAGGACATTAAATTATTCTGCATGTGATACAAAATTTATGTTTTTGATGCATTTGATCCAAAAAAGATATCTTTTTTGATGCACCAACATAGTAATTATGAAATTCATATCAGAAATGCAACTTTGAAATTTTTTGTGTGTTCACATGTGTGTCATGTAAATTTAAATTCAAAAAAAAAATCACAACAAAAAAAAAAAAAAACAACAAAATATTACTGATAATACAAATTTATTAGTAATCTTTTTACTTGTAACAATATACAAATGTTATAACAAGATATGAATCAGTTACTTTTTAGTTAATATTTACTGTGTGGATGCTGCACAATTTATAAACTTTTCAGTATGGCATATAAAAAAATCTACAACTAACTGTTTACAACTGTCTGCACTATTTAACAAGATAGAACGTATCTAATTCAAAGTAAATCCCACACACAGTGTAAACAATTAAAACTAAAATTATTTATTTTAGATTTAATTGATCACACTGTGTGTAGTATTCATTTTGGATCAGGTAAGTTCTCTCCTGTTGCACTATTTACAAAATGCTAATTATTTTTGTGAGATGCATACTGTAAAAAATAATCACTAGTTAAACTAATAAAATAGCTGTACATCATAGTTTCACTTGAAACCAAGAATGAAAGCAAATATTGTAGTTAACAAATAGTTCACGTAACATACAAATGAGGAAAATTATACAACACAATCAAACTTAAGATTTCATGAACAAATCTCACTTGGTATAAATTTTTATATTCAATTGAACAATTTCAATATAATTTTTTTTTAATAAAGTTTTTTAGTTTGAAAAATTAGTTAAAAAAAAAAACTCATACTATTATGTGAATACTAATTGTGTATTAAAGAAATCAGTCTGCATTCTTCTTCAATTCACTCTTGAATTCTTTTAGAATTTTTAATTCGCTGAAGTCTTTCAAAGCTAAAAGGTCAAAATATAATATCAATAAGGGCATAAACTCTAGAAATCGCTATAAACAAAAGTTTGGCTGTAAATTCTTTGTTTTCTAGATCTATTATAGCTTTTGATAACATCAATCCTTGACTTTTATAAACTTTAATAGCCCAAGCTAAATGAATAGGAACCTGCAAACATGAGCAAGTTATTCCAGAACTATCTTTTCAGGTATATCTGATAGATACAATTGGGATGACTTTTATGCCTTCTAAGATACTTAAAGTAGGCCCATTATAATTCTTAAAAGTAATAAGGACTGCTATAGAAAGCAAAAGTGGTTCTTGATCTTCTTCAAATAAAATATCTTGTATAATTCCTATTGAGCCATTAACTAATCCTGATTCTATTCACAAATTTGTTGATAGCATAACACATGCACCTTTCACTAATAACAGCTCTGCTTCAAGACCTTTTGCTATATCTGAGTTGGCTTTTTTAGCTCCAGGACTACTAGTGTGACTTGTAAGAATCTTGATAACAGGAAGATTTAAAAATCTGAGCCTATCTATATTTGTTAAGTTAATCTTAGACCATATTAATAAGATAAACATAGCATCTGAGAATATGTCATGCTCTGTTTTGTTTAACTTATTTTCAAATCGAGTACTAAGCATATTCCAATCATCAATAATAGACTTTCCATTATGCATTCATAAGAGAATGTCTCTAAAGTCTTGTTATTTTTAAGAATCTTCAGATTGATGCTGTATAGCACTGAGTTTGAATACCTCCTAGAACTGTTTATATGCTGCAATACTATTATTCAACAAAGAATCTCTCAAAATTTCTGTTGTATACATAGGAAGGTCAAGTACTGGTAGAAGCTGATCAAAGTTACCAAACAAAATAATCGATCTTCTACCAAAAGGAATATTTTTATGTTCAGAAAATGCTTGGCATAGTCACATATCTATCAAAGCAAGCATTTAATGTTCAATCATACTTTTTTCATTAAGTATAATATACTTTACATGTTGTAACTTATTTTGTAGATTTTTAAGTTGCTTGTCTTCTATATCAAAATGAGATCTAATAGGTACTGGAATTAAAAGCATTGAATAAATTGTTGCTTTGTTTATATTGAAGAATGCAACACCTATTAGAGTAAGTACTAACACTAGCAATTTGAATTTTGTTTCTGCTATATCACATAGCCAATTTCTGATTGCTTTAATGAGATAAGATTTTTTTGTTCCAGCAGTTCCTAAGATTATAATTTTTAGTGGCTCAACTTGATGACCCACAAGAGTATCATAATAATATGATTCTATTTACTTAAAAATTGTATTCTGTTTTTCATTTAAAGTTTGATAATCTATATCATTAACAATTAAATTTTTATTATTTTCTATTTCAGTGTTGCTACTTGATGCTTAATTTAAAAATGAACTAACTTCTGCTAGGATAGTGCTGAAATAATATTGTCTGGAGTTATTAATCCAGTTATGATTCTGATCAATGTCATAAGATTCAAGATCAGACAAACAATTGAATACTCATTAGGACCTATTTTGGCCAAAAACATCCCGTTAAATCAGAATTTATTTTTCTCTTCATCTTCAAGTTGGTTCTCTTGATCATCTTTATCAATAATTTTACTTTTATCATTATTAATAGAATTTCTAAACAAGTCAATCAGGTCAGCCATCAGCAAAATTATAGATGCGAAATAATCTGAAAGAAATTTTGAAATTTTTGTGAAATGCAAAATATTTCAAAATTATTGCCTATGAAAAAATTTTCGCAATATTGTGAAAAAAATTTTCGAAATTATTGTGCAACGAAAATATTTCGAAATATAGTGAAAGAATTTATCTAAATATGTAGAGTGCAAATAAGATGAAATAAATTAAGAAATTATTTGAAGAACTCAAAAATATT